GAACTTGAACTGAACTTGAACTGAACCAAAACTTTGAGTTCAAGTTCAGTTCAAGTTCATAAATTTAAAGTTCAGTTTAGATTCAAAGATTTGCAAAATTTAAAGTTTAGTTCAGGTTCAATTGAACTTGAACCTGAATTTAAATTGAACTGAATTGAACTTCAGAATACTAGCTTAGACTAAATATTCTAAGCTGCACTAATTAGACTATATGATCAAATTTTTTACTTCTTGAACAAGTATTGAATATATATCAAAAAAACTTCTATTATTTACTAAAAATAATCATTATGCAGTTATTGAAATAAAGATCTATTAATATTAAATATATACATATATATATATTAATCTAAAATTATATAAATTATATTATTGATATTTATATATAACTATTAATCATAGTATCAAAAAGTGACTTTAATTTGTATATATCTAACTTTAACTTTCTCTTAAAAACTATTAATAACTTATTATATATTAATTAGTATAGTATTTGGACTATCACTATATTTATTAATAAAAGTTTTATTTAAATATAAATAGATAAATATAAATATTAACTAATTCTATATCTATATTTTGTATATAAGTAATACTAAGACAAAACTTGTAAACAAATATTTAAATATCAATATAAAGATAACCAGAATACTGATATAAACTTGTCTTATTAATACTTCAAAATTTGTTTACAAGTTTTGCTTTAATATTATATAGAAATTAATAATAATAATTTCTTGATCTATTAAAAATTAGCAAAAATAAAGTTTTGCTTATTTACATATAGTCAGAGTATTATTAATTAATTCTCTTGTATATACATATAGCCAAACTATTTCAGCTACTTGGCAAATGCTTAAAGCAAAGTTATTAATAATTTGTAATATAATAGAAATTAGGCTTTATATAGATTAAACCAGATTTGCAAAGCTTTATATAAAACTTTTTAGTATTTTAGCATACTTTAAAACTTTAGCAATATCAGCAAAAAAATAGACTACTAGATATCAATTATTTATTATAGAAATATATATCAATTGTAATTTCTCTTGCTAATTTATAATGATTACGATACAAATTGATATGTAACCAAAATAGATAATAATCAATACATAATCAAATAAATAAAAATTGATATATATTCAAAATAACAAAAATTGATATATAGTTTCAAAATGATATAAATTGATTATAATAAATGATATATATCGATATAAATCAATATATACTATAATAATATAAAGTATTATATTTAATATTGCTGCAATTAATTTTGAAAAATATCAAACTAAAAGAACGTAAAACTGAAAAGTAATAATTTTTTTATTTTGCCAATATGCAATATAAAATCATATAATAAATATGATACATAAAAGTTTTATATATAATATTTTTACAAATAAGAATACAGATATACAAAAAAAAAAAAGCCAGGCTCAACTCTTTCTAATGAGCACTTATACCAAACTTACAACTAATGAAAATAGAAAACTTGTTGAAGAAAGTAGAGAGACAACTAAAATAATAGTTTTTATAAAGGTCAAAGCTTTTGACTATTTTCATCCAAACTTCTTTGTATATTTAACAAGCAAGTTAAAAATATTCTTGTACAAGATAACTAGCAGAAAATGGTGTTTTTGAACAAAAAATTTTAATAGAAGCATAGCTTTTGCTAACGAAGTGAAAGTTAGTTGGTCTAAAGGAGAACAACAAGCAAGTTTTCAATACATTCTTTATCGAAGTTTAAGGCTACTCGCAAACCAAAACTCTCTACCAAGACTTCACTCTCTATTCTTTATGAAATTTCAACAAAAAGTGAAAAATATAGCATACTCTTATCAAAAGATTGATACAACAATTGCTACCAAAAAAAAAAAGTCACGTACAAAAGTACATGTCTACTTTGGAATGAAAATCACATAGATCGATTACCTCAAGAAGTTACAGTATTTACACTGAGATTTACAGAAGCTTAAAAAGCATAAGTCATTTAATTTTGCTCAGGAACAAGCATTAGTATGACAATGTGTTGCAGGATACTGTGCCAAAAACCTGGTAGGATCACAAGAGAAATTTTGAACTTGGATCTCTATTTAAGAATAGATATTTTATATATTTCAATATAGACATAAATAACTAGCATAGAGTTTAGACTAGTTTATTTAGTAGTACTATATAATTTTTACAATCCGATACAGGTTTAATAGTGCTATCTTTGTTTTTTTTCTTTTCTTTTATTTTGTTTTTTTTTATTTGTTATTTTGGTTTTATTTGTTTAGATAGATCAAAATTGGATATCTAGATATCACCCTTTTTTTCTTTTGCCTTTTAAATTTGTGTTTGTATTTTATTTTTGTAAAAGGAAAAGATGATACTGATATGGCATGTAGCACTGGCCAATAATTGAAGAATTCATGTCTCTAGGAAGTTAGAAGCCCAGAGAGAAGTGAATAGCTACTAGACAATATTGTATCTAAGTTTTTAAGTCAAGTGAGTCATTTGTTGTAGTTAAGGAGATAATAACTATAGTTAAGAATTCTTGTAATTTTTTGCTTGGTTTATATCTTAATAAAACAGTAGCAGAACATACCAAAAAAAAAAAAAAAAAAGTAATGCTAGTGACTAATACTGAACAAGTCATCTTGTTCTTTCTTCAAAAGTATTATCGAACTACTTTGAGAAAAAGATATAGTGTTAAGTTTATAACCAGGATCAAGATTGGTAGAAATATGTTCATTGTTATAAAACCTTAGTGCAAGTTCTTTATCAACTATCATATTTGCTAACTATTGGCTAGCACCGTTATTATTAAGATCATTTTAATATAATAAATAAAGGTCAAATTGCTTTCTAATTATAAATTAGTTTATATCGATTCATTACAATTATTTACCAAATACTATACTATACGATGCTTAATCTGCTTTTTGTTATAAATAATATTTTTCAATCTGGGTTCAATATAATGTTTGTTATATACTGCTAGCATAAAAGTATAATGGTAATTGATAAAAACAGAAGTAGCAGTGATAGTAAATATGCTTTTTGCAATAGTAGTGATATATAGAACTCCTTTATCATCTTGTTCAAATAGCAAATAATAGCAATCACTCACTTTTATACTTTGTTTCCATATGATTACATTTGCAGTATTACTTTTTAGAAGAGAGAGTTTTTTATAACCAAATATATCCCAAATTGCTGAATAAATATTTTGCAATACTGAACCATGAAGGTTCTTTATTTTTTGTAGAAGCTATCAAAAGAATTACTATAAAAAAGACAGTTTGTAAGAGCTATTAAAAAAATATAAAAACAATAAATAAAAATAAAATCACTTACTTAACTATATCACACACTATAAAAATAGTTAGTAAACTTATTAGTGCTTATATTCACTATAAACTCTGAGAACTTATCATCTAGATAGTGCTTTAAGATTGTTTTCAAATTATTTTAGTTAAGATAGATTATTTGTAGAAAAAGGTATTTAACAATACTAATATATATATTCTTCAAAATATAAAAAAATATTTAATATAATATACATATTCTTCAAAATATTGTTATAGAATAAGTTTTCTAAATTTCTTATTATTAGTATTATTTAGTATTATTATTAGTATTATTATTATAT